TTTCTTCTCTAAACATCATTTTCTAAAATAAGCAAATAAGGAAAATCTATAGGAATTCATGGTATTATTATCAACCAACATTTTACAGAAAGAGAATAATTACTTTAATCTTATCACTTATTGCCTAGTCTATCTTGATATCCTTTTCACTTTTTGGAATTTTCTTTCACATGTGGTTAATTTGTCTTATGATTTTTCTCTTTAAAAATTATATCCTTCACAGTATCTAAATGATTCAAAAATTACTGACTGGTGTGATATGCTACCAGGATTACAAATTATAAATACATTGCTAATTTACTTTGCCACAAACTATCATTAGAAACAAAAAGGGACAGAGAGTAAATAACAATGTGACCTTTCAAATTCTCCTCTCCTAAGTTTCCTGGAGGTGTTTTCACTGTTGCTTGTGTGTAAATGCATGTGTTTGAAAACACTTCTGATTCTAGTACTATTTTCTCAAATTATATTCTTTTATTAATGGATGAATTAAATGCAGTGAAAACTCTGTGTTATGGTAGACTACTTATTCTAAATTCAACTACAAGGAAATATAAAACCCTTATCATTATCCTTTGCCAGCAATTTTTTTCAGAAATGACCAAATTAAAACTTTTATTCATATACTCATGATACATATGTGCAAATTCTAAATAGTGTTAGATCTAGAAATGAAAAGTAACAAAGATATGTCTTTGGTCCACAAGAGAAACCCCAAAAGATTTGAAGTAGAAATTGAGAGAGTCTTACAAGGATTCACTGAGTATAGAAAAAAGTCATGAACTCTAAAATAGGTACAGTGGGGAGGGCAGTACTTGTGGGGGGAGAGGGTGAACAAAGGAGATTAAGGTGATGGAATATGGTTGCTGAGCTTTGTATACTTATATGAAATAGAAAAATGAAACTTCTTGCAGTAAGTGAGGCAGGGAGGGGTCAAGGGGGAGAGACAGTGGGGGGAATATAATTATTATATAATATAAGGCTATTTGGAATTGTCACAAGGAACCCCCCCCCGTACAATGATTATATCCTAATTAAAAATATTTCCAACACACAAAAAATAAAATAAAATTCATATGCAAGAAACGAAAAAGTCGAGAAGATAGAATGAAATTACATTTTATTTTTTAATAAATTAAAGGGAGAAAGAAGCATGCTTAATTAAGATAGAAAGCCACCAATTGAAAAGACCTATTTTGGGGCCCCACAAATCTTAATAGTAACTCAAAGGATGCATTTCTTACCTGCTATCAATGAGCACTTCAGACTGCCGGTTGTTTACTTGATTGTCACTGTTGTGGCGGAACTGAAAAATCAAAGTGTTTGTTACAGAACATATTGAATCACACTTTGCTAACCCAAATATCATTTGCATAATATTGCCAGGATGAACACAGTTTATACTTACCTTGAACCCAGCTCTATGTTCTAAATCTAAATCAACACTCATCTCACTAGACCTCATTCTGGAATATTACCAATGGAAGAAGTCTGACCACACGCTAAGCCCACAATTCCAATTCTCACACATTTTTACTTGCTTCTAAGAACACAATATGCTCTCGACGATGCCACAAAGTTCAAGAGAAAACTATAATTTTGATGACTTCAACCAGGAATGGAGACTTCCATTTCTCTCACATATGTGCTCAATACTTTATTGGAACATCATTCATTCTGTTTTATGGACTTTCTTTGAAGTCAAGAAATTACTTGTAACAACATGTATTTTTATTCTCCAGAAATTCTAATTGTTAACAGTGATCATATGAAATACAAAGCAATACTCAACCACATTTGGTGTGGATTTATGTTTTATGCCCAAGTGACCATATTTCTTATTGTGTACTCTAATAATGCAAATATCTATGTTGCCTGGAATAACCCAAATATTATGAGCTCTCCACTAGACTCAGAAATTAGCAGCCATTCAGAAAAGAGTTTCTATATGAACTGTTGAGATCATATAGTAAGAGTCTAAATTAGAGACAAGGATAATATAGAGATAATAGTATAACCAATAAGAGCTAAAAAGGGTCAAGGTTATTTCAGCAGATAGCCTACATGCAAAGATGAACAAAGGTAGTTTCATGATTTCACAGTGTGTAATCATAAGGATAAGTGCTTTTACTTTTTTCAATACAAAAAGAAGATTCTCAATATTCCCATCACAATGTATAACATATCATATGTATAGCATACCAAATACATAAAATGCTTCAACCATAGCTTCTCTTTTTATAATCTCCCCAACCCAATCTTTCTATTATGCTATGCCTAGTACATACAAGTATCCAGAGTGGCAGGTATAAGTTAATGAATATTACCAGTAAAAATAATAAAACTTGACTATTTAGCATTTGTTAACATGAAAATAATTTATAATATTGTAAATTTTTAGGAGTAGATTAAGTAAGCCCACTCACTGATATTATTTTATCTGAGTGCACGGTTTTGTGGGTTTGCTGAACATTCTCTGTTTGTTCCATATCTACACCTATCCCTGTGTCATGGGAAGCTAGTCTGTGTGGTCCTTCCTCCTGGTTGGGTTTGACCAATAGGTTATACTGGCAGAAAATCAGATAGCTAGAGGAGAGTAAAATGGAGATATTTATTCCCTGGCTTCTTTCTAGCTGGGTTAGCAAAGCTGCTTCTCAATAGGGAGACTCAGCTACTGAAAATACCCTCAGCTACAGCTCCAGGCTGGGGCCCCACCTACTTCCTTTGCTTCTTCATTTTCAGGCCTAAAATAGTTTTGCTACCCATGTTACAATCATGGGTATTTTTTCTTGTCCACTCTTTTTGTGTGTGTGTGTACTGGGGCTTGAACTCAGGTCCTAGACCTCAAGCCACTCTACCAGCCCCTTTTTTGTGGTGGGTTTTTTCAAGATAGGGTCACATGAACTATGTGTCCTGACTTCAAATCATGATCCTCCTGATCTCTGCCTCCTGCGTTGCTGGGATTATAGGCGTGAGCCACCGGCATCCAGCCTTGCCCACACTCTTTGTAATGGACTCCTCATTACTGAACTCTACAGCCCTCTCTATTTCAAGGCAGCATCTGTCTTCTGCCAAGACCCTGACTAATGAAGATGCCCATCTATTGGACTGGCATATATCATCACAAAAATAAAAGTACATGTAAGCACTAACTGCAGTAGAATCAAAAGGGACTTATTGATTAGTCACATCTGTATCTAACCTGAAAATAGTCCTCTAAAGTGACTAGCTTAGCATCATGGAAAACTGACTGACCATCAATTCATCCCCAAAACCTGAGCATCACACACTCAAGATGGGACCACTCCCACTTCTGCTCAGGCTTTGCCAAAGACTCTTGGTATTGGGGCAGATGGAATCTGGAAGGATTAGAAATGGTAGTATCAGGGCCAGGCTGACTCTTTTTGACGATTCTTACTCTAGAAATAAATGTGAATTATTAAAGGGGAACTACCCCAGGACAGAAAGAGAATGGAGGACCAGCACTTACAGTGTACCTGCTCACTATGAGCCAGGCTCCATGCCTGGTGTTTACACATGTTCTTTCATTTTGTCCTCCTAACAGTACTGATGTCATTGGCCACATTATACAGAAAAGGAAAGGTTCAGACAAGTTAGATGGTTTGCCTTATGTCACACTGCTAGTAAATGGAAGGGTAGGATGTCTTCCTTCAAAGCCTAAGTTCATTCCACTATACCATTGTACTCTTCAATGAAGGGTGACTACAATGAATAAGACCATTAAGGCCATCATGTAGAAAGTCAATCAGGGACTTAAATGAGTTCTATTTCCCTCAAACAATATGGGGAAACAACACTTACTTCAAATATGTCATTGATCAAATCATTGTTGGACTTCCCTCTCCTGGAGTTACCTTTGGAGCTCACAGCCCATTCTTTGAAAGGACCTCTATCCTTTGGAAATGGAGTTCTACATCCTTTGAAAGGATATGAAAAGTTGTATTGTATTTGGAAATATAAGGAAATTACTCATGAAAAGCAAGTGTTTCAACAAGGTTTTGATGAGGCTAAGAAATAGCCTGTGTTTCCAAAGCTGGGTGAACATGAAGTTATTAGATTGGCTTTCTTCTGTACTTTGTGTACTGACCATGAAGATAATTCTGTAAGCGAGCTCCCAAACTACCTTAAACAATGGCAACCTCACAGGAATGGATAGACTCCAGGAACAGTCTAAGTTGGCCACTTAAATGTGATATTATACAAAGTGTGGATGAGTCCTGTGTATTTTTTAGAAAGTCAGCCTTATTTACTCAGCCATAAGGAAGAATGAAACCATGTGGTTTGAAGGTAAATGGATGCAATTGAAGGACATTATGTTAAGTAAAGTAAGCCAGGCTTAGAAAGACAAAGGCCACAATTTTTCTCTCATATGTGGAAGATAGACACAATACAAATATAAGCAATATTATGAAAAACAGGTTACACTAAGGGAAAGTCATTAACAGGAGAGGGAGGGCAAAAGAAGGAAGTTAAGAAGGTGAATATGAGTGATGTACTTTCTATACAAGAATGAATATAGAAATTTTAAACCTGGTGAAATCACCATAAGTATGGGATTAAGATAGGAAGAAGAAAATGAGATGACATGAAATAATTCAAGTTATAATACATATATACATGAAAATGAAAGAAACTCCCTGTAGAGCTATCTTTAACAAACAAAAATGTCTTTTTATAAAAAATGAAGAAGAGGAATATAAAACAGGTCCTGTTTGGGGGAGTTGGTACCAGTGGGATGGGGAGGATACAAGGAAAGGGTAAAGGATACTGAGTGTAGTGGAAATATGCACTCATGTGCGAAAAATAAGAAATGTTGAAACTATTCCAGGAATGAGGAGGGGGGGGATAGAAGAGAATGATGGAAAGAGTGAAACGACCAAGAGAAATATCACATGTACAAACTTGATAAGTACAAATCTCCCCATCTTTCTTTCTCATACCCAACAGCTGTTAGCAGAGGCAGGTTTCCACTTTCTCCAAGCAACCTTTCCTAATTCTCTCTTTCATACTCCACTCCCACTACCAACCTGGCTCTTGAAGGGTATCTTCCTCTCATAGAGAACCAGAGCACTTCACTTTTTTAATGATTCTTATGACATTTTAAATCTCATATTATTGTTCTTCATACACATATTTTACCTCCCCTTATTGTGTTTTAAGATTTTTTAAAAGACTTTAGTTTCTGTGTCTGTTTCATTTTTACATTTCCCATATAGCTTTTCACATAGATGTGTGGTAAATAAGAGCCAGCATTCTGAAGCCAGATTGCTTCCAGTAGACTGTGGAAACTTAAAACCTAGAACAACCACAAGATTATATCTATTAAACCAATGATGAAGATAAAATTTAATCATACAAAGTAATTAGTCTAAAAAAAAGGCAGAAAAATAAAACAAAGAATCAAGGGGAACCAAACGGGATATTCGAGCCTGTAATCCTAGCACTAGAGCTGAGGCAGTAGGATTGTGAGCTGAAGGTTAGCTTGGGCTATATAGTTAGACCCTGTCTCAAAAAAACAAACAACAAAAAAGAACCCATGGGGAATATATAAAGCAATAGCAAGATGGTAAGTGTAAGCCTAATCATTGTCATAATAATATTAACATAAATGAGTTAAACAGTCCAATTAAAAGGTGGAGGTTTTCTTGTCATAGTTAAAAGTATCATCAAAGTATATGCCGTGTGCAAGAAATCTACTTGAGAGGCCTAGGTTAGCAATATAAACATGCAGGTATTAAAACTAGGGCATATGCAACCACCCAGGGTCAGAATATAACTTGCTGGACTTACCATGTTTGGTTTTCCCCAAAACTGTGTTTTAAGTCTTTGAATCTGAATTGAAATTGGAACTGTACATTCTTTCAGTTTTGCAGATTTCAAAACTTTCTACTGTCATATACCACACTTCCTTGCCTTAGACTTCTGACTTCTGAAGTTCTTTGACTTTATAATTCCTAGTATAATGAACAGAATATGTGAGAGTGCCTAATATTTACCAACTACCAAAGTTTAGACAAAGACATATGAAAAAGAGTAAATAATACTTGTACTGGGTGAATACAGGTTATGCTTTAAATCTAGTTTGTTCTCCCATGAGTTGGTTGTGTGATCATTAGCAAATTGCTGCCTACTTATGGGCTTTAGTGTTCTCATCTATGAAAGAGGAAGCAACAAGCCTACTTTCGAAGCGTTCTTGCAGATTTTGGTTCTATTAACAGCTAACAAAACAAGTAACAAAAGAGTTAATTCAAAATTTAAAATAGGTTTCCACTTTTTATTTCTGAGAAGCCACAGTTAAAATTGAGACATCAAAGATGCTCGAGAGCATATACTCACATAATCATCTGTAGCATCTTTAATGGCCGTCATGGCTATAACCAGGATCAAAGGCACGATAGTGGTAAACCAGGTCAAGGAGGAGATTTCTGGAATTAACTGAAACAAGAATTTCAAGTAGTTTAAGCCTTTTTAAGTTAAGAAATGCATCCTCTAAGTTTTGTCATTTAGTTATATAAGACTTGGCAGAAAATAATGGGGGTTATATTCAGTTACTTGTATGAATGTAGAATGACTTTCAATAGTTCACTGTTTTGCATTGATTGTAAAATACATACAGGAGAAGTACCATTCTGCCAGTCTTCAAATTATGTGACAAAAAAATTAAAATTTTGAAGCAAGCTGAGAAATAAGCTTCTTGAAAGCTTTCACAGATGGTAATCTTTCCCAGGTTGTTAAATGTCACCTTTCCATCTCAACTTTTCACAATTTACCAACTTCTTTTCACATAAGTTCCCAAAGAATGATCCTTTAGTATCTATATTGAACCAGGTATTTTCCATACATTATATCATTTGAACCACAGAAAAAGTTGAGTTAGATTCTATACTAGAATTGTTTTGTATAAGCCCATAGGGTATGTATTCCATGTAAATAACACTTCCCCATCATGCACAACAGAGTACATTGTGAATGGTAACCCAGAGTCAGAAAATACTGCAGTGCTGGATATCATAACCTATTTTATTAATGAAATATCTGAAAGGTCAAGGAACTGGGGCAAAACATAAATCTATATCTCTTTGACTTCCAAGCCTATTCCCTTGTGCCTGTACCTTCAAAGCAATCCACCTAATAAAGAGAGGGTATGACTCTCTTAGACAACTGGTTTTTTTTTTTTTTTTTTATTTTTCTTTTATTATTCATATGTGCATACAAGGCTTGGTTTATTTCTCCCCCCTGCCCCCACCCCCTCCCTTACCACCCACTCCACCCCCTCCCGCTCCCCCCCTCAATACCCAGCAGAAACTATTTTGCCCTTATCTCTAATTTTGTTGTAGAGAGAGTATAAGCAATAATAGGAAGGAACAAAGGGTTTTGCTGGTTGAGATAAGGATAGCTATACAGGGCATTGACTCACATTGATTTCCTGTGCGTGGGTGTTACCTTCTAGGTTAATTCTTTTTAATCTAACCTTTTCTCTAGTTCCTGGTCCCCTTTTCCTATTGGCCTCAGTTGCTTTAAGGTATCTGCTTTAGTTTCTCTGCATTAAGGGCAACAAATGCTAGCTAGTTTTTTAGGTGTCTTACCTATCCTCACCCCTCCCTTGTGTGCTCTCGCTTTTATCATGTGCTCATAGTCCAATCCCATTGTTGTGTTTGCCCTTGATCTAATGTCCACATATGAGGGAGAACATACGATTTTTGGTCTTTTGGCCAGGCTAACCTCACTCAGAATGATGTTCTCCAATTCCATCCATTTACCAGCGAATGATAACATTTCGTTCTTCTTCATGGCTGCATAAAATTCCATTGTGTATAGATACCACATTTTCTTAATCCATTCGTCAGTGTGGGGCATCTTGGCTGTTTCCATAACTTGGCTATTGTGAATAGTGCCGCAATAAACATGGATGTGCAGGTGCCTCTGGAGTAACAGTCTTTTGGGTATATCCCCAAGAGTGGTATTGCTGGATCAAATGGTAGATCGATGTCCAGCTTTTTAAGTAGCCTCCAAATTTTTTTCCAGAGTGGTTGTACTAGTCTACATTCCCACCAACAGTGTAAGAGGGTTCCTTTTTCCCCGCATCCTCGCCAACACCTGTTGTTGGTGGTGTTGCTGATGATGGCTATTCTAACAGGGGTGAGGTGGAATCTTAGTGTGGTTTTAATTTGCATTTCCTTTATTGCTAGAGATGGTGAGCATTTTTTCATGTGTTTTCTGGCCATTTGAATTTCTTCTTTTGAGAAAGTTCTGTTTAGTTCACTTGCCCATTTCTTTATTGGTTCATTAGTTTTGGGAGAATTTAGTTTTTTAAGTTCCCTGTATATTCTGGTTATCAGTCCTTTGTCTGATGTATAGTTGGCAAATATTTTCTCCCACTCTGTGGGTGTTCTCTTCAGTTTAGAGACCATTTCTTTTGATGAACAGAAGCTTTTTAGTTTTATGAGGTCCCATTTATCTATGCTATCTCTTAGTTGCTGTGCTGCTGGGGTTTCATTGAGAAAGTTCTTACCTATACCTACTAACTCCAGAGTATTTCCTACTCTTTCTTGTATCAACTTAAGAGTTTGGGGTCTGATATTAAGATCCTTGATCCATTTTGAGTTAATCTTGGTATAGGGTGATATACATGGATCTAGTTTCAGTTTTTTGCAGACTGCTAACCAGTTTTCCCAGCAGTTTTTGTTGAAGAGGCTGCTATTTCTCCATCGTATATTTTTAGCTCCTTTGTCAAAGATAAGTTGCTTATAGTTGTGTGGCTTCATATCTGGATCCTCTATTCTGTTCCACTGGTCTTCATGTCTGTTTTTGTGCCAGTACCATGCTGTTTTTATTGTTATTGCTTTGTAATATAGTTTGAAGTCAGGTATTGTGATACCTCCTGCATTGTTCTTTTGACTGAGTATTGCCTTGGCTATTCGTGGCCTCTTGTGTTTCCATATAAATTTAACAGTAGATTTTTCAATCTCTTTAATGAATGTCATTGGAATTTTGATGGGAATTGCATTAAACATGTAGATTACTTTGGGAGTATCGACATTTTTACTATGTTGATTCTACCAATCCATGAGCATGGGAGATCTCTCCACTTTCTATAGTCTTCCTCAATCTCTTTCTTCAGAAGTGTATAGTTTTCCTTGTAGAGGTCTTTCACATCTTTTGTTAGGTTTACACCTAGGTATTTGATTTTTTTGAGGCTATTGTAAATGGAATTGTTTTCATACATTCTTTTTCCGTTTGCTCATTGTTAGTGTATAGAAATGCTAATGATTTTTCTATGTTGATTTTATATCCTGCTACCTTGCTATAGCTATTGATGATGTCTAGAAGCTTCTGAGTAGAGTTTTTTGGGTCTTTAAGGTATAGGATCATGTCGTCTGCAAATAGGGATATTTTGACAGTTTCTTTACCTATTTGTATTCCTTTTATTCCTTCTTCTTGCCTAATTGCTCTGGCTAGGAATTCCAGTACTACGTTGAATAGGAGTGGAGATAGTGGGCATCCTTGTCTGGTTCCTGATTTTAGAGGGAATGGTTTTAATTTTTCTCCGTTAAGTATAATGCTGGCTGTAGGTTAGACAACTGGTTTTCAAATGGGGTTCATTTTGGCACTACTTCAGGGCCATCAGGCAGGGAAGGGTGGGGCAGAGACTCAGTGGATGGAGATTAAGCCCTAGAAAATAAATCAAAACTAAACTGATTTTACATAATATCTTCTTTGTGATTTTTTTTAAATCTCAAAAGCTTTGAGAGTTAGATAAGAGGAATAAGTTCTAGCATTCTACAGCACAGTAAGGTGGCTATAGCTAAGATCAATTTATTATATGTTTTATGAACAACTACAAGGGAGGAGTTCAAAGGGTCCCAACACAAAGAAATGATCAATGTTTGAGATGGAAATGCTGATTTGATAATTACACATTACATACACGTATTAACACACTGTCCCTCATAAATACGTACATTATTCTGTCAATTAAAAATAAAAATGTTTTTAAATAAGAAAGCAAAACAAAGGTTCTCAGAGGACAGCAAAAAACATTGGGTGGTTTCAGAAAAACTCTATTCTGCTGGGGATGTGGCTCAAGTGGTAGAGCACTTGCATAGCAAGCACAAGGCTCTGAGTTCAAAACCCCAGTACTGACAAAAAAAAGAAAACCTGGATTCTACTCATAGTTTCTCATTAACTCATGGTAAAAAAAACTGTATATGACCTAACCTCTCTGGGTCTCAGTTCTTCATCAATAAAAGAAAGGAGATTGAACGAGACCATCCCAAAGGTCCCCTCCAAATATAAAATTGTATGGACAAGAGACTCTGATCATGAGTAAGAAAGCCCTCAGAGAAATGTGAATTGAAATTTCTGGAATGATGTGAAGGGTTTTATGGCACTGAGAGTCAGGATCTTGGATTCTAAGTTTTCTTTAAGAAATAGTAAGTTGTACATACATTGGGTTTTGGTTGGGTGCTTTCTTGGTTGGTTAGTTGGTTTGGTTTTGGTTCTCTTCCTGATCAGCATCCAATTCTTCTCAACTATATCCCTATTTCATTTATTAGGGAACTATGCTAACCCTCTAGTTTTAGTCTTTGTAACTTTAGTGGACTGATTCCACTCTGGCTCCAGTTTGGGTACAGGATCTAGGCCATCCCAATCACTGCATCAAAGTCTTGAGCCACAGTGGTTAGTTTAGGAATGAGGATAGAGCTCCAATCAAAGTCAGTCCTCAAGGCTTTTGCTAGAGCTACAGAAAACTTCTCTCTCTCTCTCTCTCTCTCTCTCTCTCTCTCTCTCTCTCTCTCTCTCTCCCCCCTCCCTCCCTCTCTCTCTTTCTCTCTCCTCCCCCCCACCCCCGATAATAAGTCTAAAACTATGACGGACATTGGGTTAAGGACCTACCTAAGAGTATGACCAACATGAAAGAAAACAGAAAAAGAAGCCACATCCATTTCTACCACTTACAACCAAAAGGATATTAATTCAAATAGTTATTGACTAAAGAAAAAATAGTAGTCTTATGATTAACACACAGCCCAAAACATTCTACCGTCTGGTCTGATTGAATTATCTAAAATAAATGCTAGGTAAATAACTGGTTAATATGAACTATTAATGTTTATCTGTATCTTTCTTAATTTTTGCCCTTTTACTTTCCAAAATAGCACTAAAAGCTGAATGCCCTTAAGCCTAAGTTTTAGTCAGGGGAAAGGTTATTAACTACCAAATTAACCACACAGGACTGTAAAAAATGGCCACCCTATAGTGAAATAACACATAGCAGACATCCTTTATCTTATTTATTCATGAGATGTATCATTGTTCTTAGAATAAAAGAAAATTTGCCAACTTAAGTTTCACAACCTCTTCAGTCTTCTCAACTCCAGCAATCCCTGTGTTGTAGACATGAAAGGGAGATGAAGAAAGCAAGGAGGCCATGAACATTAACTACTAGGTTCTGGTTTGACTCAAATAAAGAGCAAAGTTGCATTCTAAAATGACCTCAGTGTTTAAAATGACAAATACACTCATTTTTTACCCTTCCTAGTCCTCCCAGACTTGTGAAGAGAAACGCAACAACAACATTAAAAACGTGACAGGGACAGTTTTACTAATCATGAGCGTCTAGCTTAGTAAATTGCTACTTTGAATACTTACAATAAAAATATAATGAAGAAATACAACCTAAACATTACCTGCAATATCAGAAGGAAAAGGAAATAGGCATTTGCCACTCTTTGGAACTGCTCAAATAAGTTAATTGGTAAGAAGGTGAGAATGTTGTATTTGGATGTGTGGATACGATTATCCTGAAAAAGAAAGAGCATCCTGTTAGTCAGAGGCAAGGTATTACTCATTATAGCCCTAAAACTTACAAGGCTGAGCCTGAGTTGCACAAATTAGCTAGAAAATTCTAACCTACATGTGGCCCAAGACCTTTCTCCCAAGATGACATGCTCCTGATTCTAGGCAAAAATACTGTTCAGTGCCATAAAATTATGGGTATCAAGCTCACTTCTGAGATTTTTTTTTTCCTCTTTATGCACTCATTCGTTTGGTAAATATTGCTTGAGTACCTACTGTATGCAGACACGGATCTCGTGCTGTGACCCACAGAATGAAAGGAACTTTAATAGAAATCACTGGGTCTACCTTCCCAAAACATGACCCAAAAAGGAGCCTTAGGTCTGTCTTTGAACATCTCCTGTCTTGCAAGACAGCCTGTCCCCATTTCAGAATGGAATTGCTACAAAGGTCGTCTTATGAGAAACCCAAACATGCCTCCCTATAACTTCTTGCCATGTGCCAAGTTCCATCCCTGCAGTCACCTACACCAAGTCTGAGGCCTTTCCAGGTTGATAACCTTCAAATACTTGAAAATCACTCATAGTACTTCCCTAAACATTCTCTATTCTGACCTACATTCAGAAACACCTCACCTTTCTCCAGGACTTATTATGTAGACATTTTTCCTGGCCATCTTCTTCTCAATCCATCCCAACTTCTCTACATCTGTCTTAAACCATAATGCTCAGATTCAGACACAAATTGCAGACCTGGTTAAAAAGTTTATGTATAGTAAGAACTATACATGATATCCTGAGTTCTGAACTCTTATATTAACATACCCTAAGACTTCAGTAGCATTTTGTAAATTGTATCTCACTGTATCTCCTTATGGAGTTTTGATCAACTGAAATCCCTAAGTGATTTCTACATAAACCACTATTAAATCAGGTTTCTCTTCCTTTAGTCATTTTCTTAATAATGATCTATAACATGTTTCATATATTCCTATTTTACCAACCTAATGAGAAAAAAAGCATTTTTAACTTTGCACACACTATTACTGTAGTAGTAAATAGCCCTTCCAGTTAGTATCATCAGTATTTTTTTTTTTGGCAGTACTGAGGTTTGAACCCAGGGCTTTACTCTTGAGCCACTCCTACAGCCCATCAGAAAATTTCAAACAAATGCCTTTTATATATATAGTCTTTACAAATGCAGTAAAAAGGACATGGCCATAGATCTTTTATTTTTCATTAAAATAATAAATCTATGGAAAACTACCAGAGACCTCTCTGCCGATTAACATTAACACCTTTCTTAAGGCTTTACATAAAATATAGTAAATATGTCTTATTTAACTAATAAATCCATCTAACTCTATTCTCCAGAGGCTTAACTCTGTTTCTTCTACAAAGACAGCATGGAAAATTGGGGGAACTTGAATAGCATGGGGAAGATATATTCTGTTGAAATTCAGAATCAATGTGCCCCCAAAAAGTTTTTGTTTTAATGACATTAGTTTAGTGTAGCTTGTTTAAGCTGCAGCAATCACTGTCACCTGTTTGAAGAAACAATGTCTGATGGTTGACCATTTTAAATATTTATCAGGGGTCAAGATGTCCAGCTCTGTGCTACAGATCATAATTAAGTAAAAGGGCTAGAGAAGAGTTTCCAGCTGATTTGTTTTGGTGCACTGTAATGTACTGAAAACTGTTCTGTAGGTTTCAGTGTATTACCTACCCAGGAGTTAGGCTGGGCAAGAAGGCTGTGGGAATTGTCAATCATGACATGCTTCCCTAAAGTAGGAAGTTAGAGACAGAGGAACCCTCATACACTGCTGGTAGGAATGAAAGCTAATACAATCACTTTGGAAAACAATATGGAGGCTTCTTAAAAAAACAAAACATAGATCTGCCATATGATCCAGCAATCCCACTCCTAGGGATATACCCAAAGGAATGCGACTCAGGTTATTCCAAAGGCACCTGCAGAACCATGTTAATTGCAGCTCTATTCACAATTGCCAAGCTATGGAAACAGCCAAGATGCCCCACTACTGATGAATGAATTAAGAAAATGTGATATTTATACACAATGGAATTTTACTCAGCCACAAAGAAGACTGAAATTTTGTCATTTGCAAGTAAATGGATGGAACTGGAGAACATCATCTTAAGCGAAGTTAGACTCAGAAGGCCAAAATCTTATGTTCTCCCTCATACGTGGGTTATAGACCTAAAACAAATGCAGTAATATTATTGGACACGGGTCACACACTAAGGGAAGAATTCGTACAGGAGGAATAAGGAAGGGAAGGAAACCTAAAACTTGAAAGTGGTTGATGTGCTCACTGTAGAGGAGAGAATAAAGTAATCTTAAACTGACAGAGGCCACTATGGGAAGGGGACTAGGAAGTAGTAAAGAGGTTTGGCAGAGATGAACCAATGTGGGTTGCAATACACAAGTGCATGGAAGCAATACTAGGAATCTCTCTGTATAGCTACCTTTATCTCAAACTAGCAAAAACGCTATGTCTTTCTTATTATCTCTTATGTTTTCTCTTCAACAAAATCGGAGAAGAGGGCGGAACAGGTTCTGCCCCGGCAGAGGGAGGGAGGTGGCCTGAACAATGTGTACACATGTAAGTAATTGTAACAATGATAAAATAAAAGAAAGAAAGGAAAAGAAGGCTGTGGAAACTGTCAATCATGATATGTTTCCCTAAAGAAGGAACTTAAAATAATAAGGAAGAGGAAAGCTAAGAAGAAAGAACAGTTAACCAGAAGTATCTCATTTTCCTAATTCTGTTTTATTTTTTTCCTTTAAGTTAAAACTAAAATAGAGGTTAAACTTGCATCTTGTTAAAAGGACAGATACAAGATGTGACAGTCAAAACCATGGCAGAAATTATAAATTCTCCTCCAAAACTTAATTCCATATAGGTGAAGAGCCACTTCTGTGAGATAAAGTGATAATGCCAAACAAATTATGACCATTTTCTCCTGTATCCCTAGCTTGACATATAGCAAAGGCTGTGTTTGTTCTACTGACTCTGTTGTAACTTAGTCACAGATGATGCAAGCACACACATCTTAGACTGGAAGCAAGGAACAAGGGCTCCCCCTCCTGGACGAGCTCTAGATCCATCATCTTTGTTTTTCAGTCAAAAAGGAAAACATGTTTCCATTCCCATTACTTTATCCAAGAACATATTATACAGACCTTAAATCAGACATTCTAATATGTAGTCATTCCATTGATCCAGGCTTTACAATCAAATTTTAGTTCAACTCATCCCATAATACAGCACAGAAGATCTTCGCCACTGTCCTTTTAGAACTACTTTCCCACCATGAAACACTAGAAACATCTAATCCAATACACCATTCCACCACGAAATACTAGAAACATTCAAGAAAGAGAAGGAAGAGATATCCATGAGGTACCTTTGGTGCTAATAGAAGCCATACTAGAAGCCACAGCTTTAGTTTGTTAGTCAGGTGGGCTGGTTAATTGGTCCTCTTGATGGCTAAGACTTAAGCATACAGCCACAGGTGGTGCTGGGCCAAGGGCATGCCTTCCACATAGTAGGAAGAAAGAGCCTGCCCCTAGAGGAGCATAAGAAACCACCTAGTCCCTTATAAGAAGCTCACATCCCAAAGGGAGGAGGACCAAGCAGAGGTGAGGCTAATTCCTCCAAGACTGGCCATTGTGTAAATGGCTCCATCTCCCATGGGGCAGAGTGAGTAAAAGGGTGGCAAGGTAAGTATCACACCTGCAAAGTCTTCCCCTTGGAAGGCAACATCTGGATGAGGACAAAGCATTGTTCCTCTCTATATATCAAAACAAAGACTTGAGGAGGGCAGAAGATAACACATTTGGGGATCTAAAAGAGAGACTATGAGGCTGGACTACAGAGGTCAGCACAAACTGAGGCTAGAGAGAAAAGTTCCTTGAAGTCCATACTAAAGATTTTAGTCTTTACTATAAAGACTAAAATCATAAGTGAAGGAGAAATTACTGAAAGGTTTTAAGCAAAGAGTTACTTGAAGAGGTTTTTATTTTAAAAGATTACAGGGTAGAAAACAAATTGAAGGTGACACAAAAATAGGTATGAAAAGAGCAATGAAGAAGTCTTTGAATTATTCCAAGTGAGAGATAATGGGAGGCTTTGAGCAGTGTGGTAACAGAGGAAATAACAATGAATAATAATAAAAATAATAGCCAATAGTTACCAAGTTCTCACTACATGTACTGTTCGGGAAGCCTTACATTTCATAACTCATTTTATCCTCATAACTATCCTTATCAAATAGATACTATTTGATAAGAAAACCCAAGGTTCAGAGACTAAGAAACTTATATGAGTTACACTGCTTATGAGTAGGTAGAGCCTGGAAATGGGGACCTGCCTCTACAGCCCACCCGTTTCACCACTATGCTGTCCCAACTCAGTGCACAGCAGACGTCTCCTCCTCTGCTGAGGCAGTCAACCCTCACTGTCTCCTCCACGCTCCATCTCAGCCTGCTGCCACTGTCTTACCAAAGGAAACAGTATAACTTCCTCTCCTGTCAACCCCTCAGTTGGAGGCTTGGTTATGGTTGGCCTCGTGTATGGTTACAGCTTCCTTGTATTCCCTTTCAATTCCCCTCAGGAGTGATTCACTTGTTCTCTAAGAAAGATCAATGCAGATAAATAATATAGACAAGCACACCTTTATTTTATTTTCCCAACAGAAGTAGCAGTGGCTAAAGTCCTTTACATTTTCAGCATTTACTACACGACAGGGAGAAAGAATTAAAAAGTGACAAATTCTTCAGTGATGAGCCATCAAATAAAGCATTAATAAAATTGAAAACATTAGTTTTTATAATGAGGTCCTCATTTACACACAACTTTAAGTATATTGCTTAAGAAAATAGAAAATAACACACTGCCAAATTAGCAAACAGAGCATTGGAAGGGTTTACCTCAATTTTTCCCCTGGAAAAAATGGTGTTAATAAGGTTCTCATCTACA